TGCGCTCGCAAGCTGAGCCACTTGGTCTGCGAAAGAGGTCTCAAGCAGCGCAGTGGCAGCTTACACTCGCTAACGAGCTTCTTTTTCGTTCTCTCGAGCTGTTCGCGGCCGTGGTCCAGGCGGGTGGGGATGCGACTCTCGAAAATCCAAGATTAAGCTTGATGTGGCAAGTTCCTCAAGTTCAGCAACTCAAGCTCAAGTTGCACCTGTACAATGTGGATCTTGATCAATGTCAGTTTGGCTCCATGTTCCGCAAGCCTACTCGATTTCTGGTCAGCGACGCTCGCCTCTTAACTTTGGCTCGAGCTTGCGATGGTGGTCACACACACGTGCCTCTCAAAGGTCGAGTTCGCTTGCCAACCGACGAGGTGGTGTTCTTGACAAAGGTCGCTCAGGAGTACCCCACGCAGCTCTGTCACCAGTTTGCGGAGGTCACGCACTCCATCGTCTTCGGCATCTTCCCGCAGTTTCAGCCTTCGTTCGAGCTCGTTGCCCCTAAAGCTGATCGCAAGCGTCAGCTCGGCGACGAGGTCGTTTGGAAAGGTCATCGTCAAGACCAAGCTGCTCGTCTTGCGTGTTCAAGTGGGTACCAGCTCAAACGCGGTGCCGCCAAGCCGCTGCTCGACGTGGAATGCGAGCCAGGGGTCGCAATCCAGTGGGCTCTTCATACAGCTCACCCTTTCACAGTTCGGCCAGTTCTGCCAAACGACACCCTGAGCAACGTCAAGACGATCGTCAGCGAGCCGGACGATCTTCAACAACGTCGACATGCTCGTCTGGCTTTCTGGCAGCACCGCGCTCGGGAACTTCTGCCGGACACGGATCGCGTGCTCCGGCGCATTCCGGATCCAGCGTTACGCCGTCTCCTTCGTGGTGTTCCCGACTACGTGGATCTGCAACTGGGCTCCTGCACTCATGTCAAGCTCTACGAGGAGTTCTCCAAGGCCATCGGCTCGCCAGATCCCCTGCTGCTCGAGGGCCTTCGCGACGGTTTCCCCATCGTAGGAGAAATCCAGCGCTCTGGTCGCTGGCCCCCGTTCGCCAAGTCACAACAAACCGTACCAGTTCAGGAAGCTCTCAATCGGGCCTGGGAGTTTCGATCGAAAATTTTCCGTCGTTGTAATGCTGTTCCAGTCTCGGACAATCTCAGGTCTTTGTGGAAAGCCACGATGGAGGACGTTCTCGAGGGCTCGACTGTGGGGCCTTTCGGCTCTGAAGACGAGGTCTCCGAGTTTTTGGGCTGCTCGGATTGGATCCCGACTCAGCGCTTCGAGGTGGTTCAGAAGAACAAAGTTCGAGGCTGCGATAGTGCCACCTCCAACTTGATCAACAGGACGGCGGTGATCACCGAGAAGCTTCAGCTCGTCTCGACTGATCTCAACGTCGCCGTTCTCAGGGAGTTGCGGACACGAGGCGGCGATCGCGCTCTGGCTGGATGGGTTCTTGACGAAAGGAAAGCCTATCGTCAGCTTCCGATTCGGCCCGATCACCGCAAGTTCAGCGTGATCTGCTTGAAGGATCCTGAAGACGGGATCCCCAAGTACTTCGTTATGATCGGTCACTCATTTGGTCTGGTGGCCGCGGTCTACAACTACAATCGCCGATCGGCTTTCATCAATGATTTGTTGGTCAAGATCTTCGAAATGGTGGCTTTCAATTTCTACGATGACAAGTACGGGTTCGAGACAGCGATCACGACCCCTTCGGCGAAGCTCGCCGCGGAAATCGTTCATTTCATCTTGGGGGCGCTCTTCGATGAAAAGAAGCTGCAGCTCTCCGTGGCCCCCGTGATCTTGGGCGTAACGTTCAACTTGGAAGAGCTCGTCCTTGAGATCAAAGAGCAGAGGAAACAAGAGCTCCGGGACACGATCGACTCTGTGCTCGAGTCCGGCACCTTGGATCCGGGGTTGGCCGGGAAGCTCAAAGGGAAACTGATGTTCGGAGCCAGCCAGCTCTGGGGGAAAGTCGGTCGAGCTTTCTTTCGCCCGCTCTCCGAGAGGCAGTACATGAAAGATCTTCATGGCGATCGCATGGACCTCAACCCGGCGATCGTTAGATCTCTCAAATACTGGAGGAGATTGATCCAGTTCGGGCCTCCGCGAGAGATCTCACTTCGCTCTGAGAAGCCATCTGACGTGGTGATCTTCACGGATGGTTTCACTCCTGATCAGAGGAAGCATGAGGCGGGTCCTGATCGGATTGGGGCGGTCATGTTTGATCGTCGAGCTCAGGCGCCCAAGCAGCTCGCTGAGGTGATCCCACGGGTGATCTCCGAGAAGTGGATCCCGCGAAAGACGCAGATTGTTCCTATCGAGATGATCGCGCCGATTCTCGAGATCGAGACGTTTAGAGATCATCTGAGAAACAAGGACGTTTTGCTCTTGATAGATTCTGAAGCCGTGGAAGCAGCTCTTGTGAAGGGATACTCTTCAAAAGAGGATCTTTGCGAGTTAGTCGAGATCTTTTGGGAGCTCGCTCTTGAGTACAGGATCAACTTCTTTATCGATCGGGTCTCCACAGATGCTAACCCTGCCGACTGGCCATCGAGAGATCAACTCGAGATCGGCCGGTCAGCGGGCTGGGAGACCGTTCTGACTTCATGGCCCGTAGTGCTCGCGGATTTTTGATGATTTCGGGCCTGGGAGCTGTTCAGACTTGTTGCGGTCGCGAAGACTTGCTCGAGTTTGAAAGGGTGTGCGCTCGACGCCTGGGAAAGGTTCGGGTTGCGCGCGTGCTCTCGTTTCGGTCGGACGATGACGCACGGGAAGGGTGTCTCGTTCGATCGTCCGGGGTTCGGGTCAATCGATGAACTTCTCTTTTGTTCGAATGCTGCGCTCGACCCCATGCCAGAGCGCAAAACATGTTCATTGTTTGCGCTCGCTTGTAGGCTGCTGATCAGTGAGCTTTGCGAACGTTCGTGCGTGGAGTGTAGTCTATATATTCTGTATCGTTTCACGCAGTTCGCAAACGGCTGCCGGCCACAGTGCGCTGGTCCCGAGTGGGGCGAGTCGATCACGAGCATGCCTGGCTGGGTGTGAATCCGCGACGGGATGCTCATACCGAAGCTCTCTTATGAGATCTTGAGTCTGAGTCCGGTGTTTGCTTTACCCTGATGCGTACGCTGTTGGTGAACCAAACAAACAGTCTTGCATGATACCGAGAGACCATCTGATCAAAGTCGACACACCAAAGCCGACTGAGACAAAATCACATCGTGCCCACTCGCCGAATCGATCGATTCGTAAAGATGCACCTGCGTTATGCTGTATTTGACACTGTCTGGGCTACTGAAGCTTTCGCGCCGGCCGCGGTCGTGCAACTTAGGCAACCTTTCACAAGATCGAATTGCTGCGATGACATCAGAGGCCTTCTAGTCTGCAAATGCTACTATGTGACATCATGGCTGCTTTGCAGCACGGAGATGCTTTTCAAGCGACCAGCCATACTGATTGCAGGATGTCCCCAACATGGTGACTCCGGTTGCTGAGTCTCTGAAAGAGGCCCGCAGAGATCACTAGGAGCCGTCTAGGGCTCGCCGTGCCTATGTCTGTGCGTTGTGGCTTCAGTGGGGCCCACTGCTTTGCCATGCTCCTGCTAGCAGGTAATCCGTTCCGCTTCTTCCTCGGTCTTTCAGTGTTGGGCAAGACCGGCGGTGGGGCTTGCGACATTTTGAGATGCAAAAACCCAGGCCAAATCGATGCAGGACAGATTGACCGCGATTTCAGACGTGGCGACCTCAACAAAGGTTCGACAGCAGGTCCTGGCATCAGCAGAGTCCGATCGGCTGTGATGGTGTCCATTGCGTTGCACATCGCATGGCTGTCGTGGCCTGTGTTTCCAGGCCGCCTATAGCATTGTTGGCACGGCCGCAGAAGATGCCGAACGGCGCTTGAACGGTCCTCCAACCCGTTTGGTGTAGCGAGAGGGTCATAAGTATTGGTTGATACGTCTGGGCAGAGGGCATGAACACACTCTGGTTCCCGAACATGCCGGCTTTATTCGACTTTGTGCGGGGTTTAGAGCAAGGCGAGTCGCCAGAAGAAGCCGCAGAGGGCGAAGCAGATGAGTGGCTCGGCTGTCTCGGCGTCATCTGTGATGAAAGCTTGACGTTGCGATGTAGATGTACTGTACTGAGTTCACGAGTCTGCGCATAGGGACAGATAGGTTTCCTGAGTTCTGCGCCCTTCAGCAGCCGAGGGCTGGAGACGGGTATGGAGATGCTTGGTGGCAGTATCCTCGACAACAGACTCCTTACCCAAGTTTTCGAGACTTGAGGGAGACCACGGCTACTATGACGACTACTACGGTCAGCAAGGCGGCTACGGTGGCTACGGCGGCTACGGCCAAGGAGGCTGGCGGTCTCTGAAGCTGCAATCTGGTGCCTGCGGTGCTGTGAAGGCTACGATCAAGGAGGCCATGGCGCCTATGGCGGTCAGTGGGATCAGGGTGGCCAGGGCCAGGGCATGCACCTCGCCGGCATACCCCTGGCCGCCCTCGCGCTTCCTGCTCTGGCCGCTCAGGCGGCTGCTTTTTCGGGACCAGCGAGCGTACAAGCATGTCGTACTGGTGCAGGCCGATCTCTGGAAGCATTCCAGGCATCTCCGTCGCAAGAACCCTCAGCTGCTCTGCAGCAACTGCCCAACCAGCCGCGGAAGCATAAAGTGCTGCCGATGTTGGGGTCTGTGTACCGTATGCCGCCGTGCGAAGTCGCCACAAGCCGCCACTCGTTGATGACGCCACAAAGAGCTTGCTCCAAGGTTGAAGAGCTTCTTCTGAGTGGCCAGCTTTCTGACGGGCGAAGTCATTAGACCTTGTCCCCTCGCCAGAAGATCCATTTAATGGACTTCGCACAGGACGGGCTGTCCTTGTCTCTTACTTGTATGAGACATGTGCGCTTTGGCGCCGCTGGATTCCAAAGCTGAACTCGGCAGCATGCTGGAGCACTTGCAAACTCACCAAAAGAGCTTGCTGCCCGTGGAAACATCTGCGTGATCTGATCTGCCAGTAGCATGTTGACTTCGTGCGTGCTTTGGAACGTGTGCAAGACGGTGGTGCCCAAGCGGTGTAGACTCGAGACTTACTTCGTTTGTATGCTCAACATACTCGCATGGCTGCAGAGAACTCTCGCAGTGATACTGTCCAGGCAGGGCGGTTCCTTGCTGTTCGTGCCCCAGATTCTTTCTACAACTATCAGGATCTGGACAGGCCAGCCCACTCGAGTTTCGTGCATACTGTAGCGCTTCGCGGCCTTGAAATGAAAACCTTTAAGGGGGCAAGGCCCTTTGAGCACGGCTTGGTCATCAACATCCCACAGATGTGGACTTTGTCCCAGACACCGACACGTCTACATCTGCAGGAAGGCTGACAACTACGAGCTGGCCGTGCTGCTGACATCGGCTGTGCCCCTCGCCGACCACTACATGCAGGCATCTTTACAGACCTCAGGTGGCACAGTCCACACTTTCATGGCTTTATGATCGATGCACGCGAGAGGTGGAAGCAGATGTCCTGATGAAGAAGGGCTTTATGAAGACTCTGCAAAGCAGCCTGGTGGCACAATTGTAAAATGAATAAGATGTAGATGGTTCCAGTCCAGCAGCTGAAGCTGCTCTCACGAGTTTTGAAGGCTACGTCGCATCGAAAGAACAGCAGAAGGAGCCTTGGCACATGATCTCGCTGAGCCAGGATGGGTAGAAGCCTTGGTTTATTTTTCTCTGATAGCGTCGGTCGGACCTTGGATGTTTCAAAGCCGCTCCATGAGGCATCGGCGCAAGATCTGGCGATCCACCAGTTTGTTTGCCTTTGTGCGATTCTCAGCAGCGCAGGGGACGTGCTGAGGGCGGCTGGCGTGCGTTGTTGCTGCATCAAGGCCGGCATCCTGACGATCTTTCCGGATGCAAGGGGCCCGGCCTGTCAAGCCCGGGCCAAAGAAACCCCGCGGTCTTTCCGAACGTGATCCCCAGGTGCCACCCGACTCTCTGGTATGGGCCGGGCCTCCCAGCGGTCCACCAGTAAGCTGTAGACCTGGGAACAAGGGGATGCCAAAGCGCTTGAGATTCACGATGGCTAGGAGTACCTGCGGGGTGTTCCAGAGATTTTTGCAGGATTTTCAGAATTTTCAGAGACCTTCACATCCCCACTATGTAAGGCCCTAAGGCTGGTGAATCCTTGCTACCTGTCTGCGGAGCTGCGAAGCAGCGGTCCGATGAGCTCAGGACTTCCTCGACACGATCAACAACCAGTCCGCACCCAAGGCGACTGCAAAAAGTTCTGCTGCTTTGAGGTACCTTCAAAACGCCGTGTCACGCTCCAGTTCGCGCTCCTGTCCGGCAGCGGCAGGCGTGTGTCATTGCCAGCCTTGCGACGAAAGTGAAGCGTGCCGACGTGCTGCTCCAGTACCACAAAGCAGAGGCTCAGCTCCCAGTTCTCTCTCCGAAGGGGAACACGCAAGATGGAAGGTCCATGCATTGCAATCCCAGGCTCTTATCGAGCATGTTGGCGACGTGTCATCGCTGGAGGGGAAGGTTCAACGAATACACGACGAGCCCTGGATTGAACATGCTTACGAATGCAGAATGCCTGCTCGTGCATCTCTCGACAGCTCGTGCCGAAGGACTATTTCAAGAAACACAGTTTGATAAGCTCGCTCTTCGACAACCCCGCCGCGGACAGTGCCCTGCCGTTGGATCCCGTAGAAAGTAAGTCAGGGGTTGATGTCAGGGCCGCGATCAACACTGGCACAGGACATTTACACTGCAGATGCAATGGGTGCATCCTCACAGCTGCAGGCTTGGCTCCGAGGAACCGAGTGCGACTGCATTCGCAGAGCAGCTCGTATCTTGGTTTCACAGGCCACTTATGGCAGCAGTGGGATCTCCACGGGCCAGCCAAACGTCAAGGCTTGCAGTCTGCCAAGAGTAAGCACATCCACAAGCGACTCGTAGTACAGTGGACATCCACGTGTTCAAGCGTTCTCGAAGGTCGGAACTCTAACGGTGAAATACCTCGACGATATGGTTGGCCACGGGCAGGCACAGTCTGCTACGCTGCTACGCTCTTTTCACAAAAGCTCTCCCCAGAGAGCCTTTCGTTTCAATAGCCAGAACTTGTTCTGCCAGAAAGCCTAGAAGGTTTGGGGGGTGGGGGGGGAGGTGGCTTGTGTCGGGTCCGGTTCGGGCAGCTACTCCTCGCGGCATGGCGGGATTTTGGGCCTCCTTTTTCGGACTGGTGCGGCCGGCCTCTCTTCATGGCCACCTCACAGCAGAAAAGCCGGAACAGAGACCAAGCGTGTGTCTTTTTCTTGCACGCAGTCAGTCCAAGTCAGAAGACATCGGACCCAACCCATACCGCTGCCAGACTCAGCAGGCATAAATACTGGGCGACGAAGTCTAAATCGTTTGTTACAAACAAGGCAGAGAGCAAAGAAAGAGATCCACTGCACACTGCCTATCCGAGACTCTTCCCCAACGTTCTCTGGGACATCCGGACTGCAAGGAGAGCCCAGAGGTCCACACATGCAAAGGCATCTTCGGAGGCAACATGGTGAATCCAAACAGCCCCGGAAAACGGTCTTGATACAGCTTGCTTACCAAGTGTTCATGGCCTCATCAAAGGGAAAGCGGGGTCA